AAATTATTAGCCCTTTGAGAGATAGATGCTCACTGTGGTCTGAGTTATGCCTTGTCTAAAGAAGAAAACAATTATAATAGTTTTAGCTTTAATTATTATGAAAACTTACCTAATATTTTTCATAGAGATCCAACTCTATCACGTAATCTAGCTAAAAGATTCTTTATGCATGAACTAATAACAATTCTACTTTATAAAGAGAAGGGGGAGAACTTTTTTATGTTGTTTCTTCTTTTAAAATATACTTGTTGACATTAATTTTGATGTTTTAAAATATATTAAAAATAGTTATAATATATCATTATTAATGTATTTTTAATGTTCAAAAGACAATGTCAACAAATCTAAATAAATATATTACCTTTTCTTATTTTTTACTTTCTTCTTTCTTGAAAAAAAATAAACTTTTTTATGATCATCTTAATCTTATACTCTGTGTAAAATAAATGTAAAAATGTATTATGGTACTATTACTCAAAATTTAATGGAGGGTGTTTTGGAAGTTATATCCTCTATGGAATCATGCACATGTGAATTGGGACAGAAAAAACATTTGATAGATGGGAGCCCTTTAAGAAGAAAGTTGGAATTGGGTGTCTCTTTACATTTTATATTTATGCTTTTCTAGTCTATGAAAGTACATCAAACTGCCTTATACTTCAATAATATATCCAAGAAAAAAAAACAGTGTGTATATGTTCAGAAAAATATTATTTGGGGAAGGTGGACTAAAGGAAAAAGTAAGAACCTGTACTTCAACTGTGTGACAAGGAAGAGTTTTTCGTGTTCGTGATTATACTAGGAACTTCCATTATGTTAACATAACAATGATGTCTAGAAGAAAAGCACTGCAAATGGGACTTTTTAAATTTCAATAGGAATTTGTATCATGATTCATGGCGATTCTCAAACATGGTTTTATTCTGAAAGGTTGAGAAATATGAAGTGTCTTAATGTAGTTGGTCATATTGCTTCGTGTGTACACTAATCTTTTGCAGCAACTATACATCTCCAGTTAATATAATATTGCATTTTCTTTAACAAATCATAGAAAATTATTTTAAAGTAATATTTATTTCATTTTGATGTCAGAATTATTAAGGGATCAAGTATTTTTTTTAGGGTCAAATTCACATTTCAAAAGTCTTCTGATCATTAAAATAAACATGGTATCCTTTTTTTCTATATATTAAGTATGATATATAAAGCTGACAAAGATATCACCATGCAGCAAAGCAATAAATAAAGTTCCACACCATACACACCAATTTTCCAGGAATGGCACGAACAGATAATCTGAAGCTGTCTTTTTTATAACGTAATTTTTTTATAACAGATAATCATGATGCAATAAAATTGATATATTAGAAAAGCAAATCAAATTCTTGAAAACATTTTTTGGGACAACGTAGGTGGACAAATCAATTTTGGATAACGACTTAAAGAAATTGTTAAACAGGACAAAGATGGAAGAGTTTCTGTATAGACACAACAAAACCACCAACTCATGGATTAAGAAATTTAGAACAACGCACTTTTTGTATGTCATGCATTATTATTCTGAATTTCAAAAGCATGTCACTGATCTTACCTTGGATTTTATTCATCTAACCATAAACTATGGACATGAAAAAACCGAAAAAAGGAAGACCCCAGGACAAGAAACGTAAAACGACAAGTGGAAGACAAAGAAAGGTTAGAAAAAAACAGGCAATGGGTTATGAGCAAGCAAAAGTTGTACATGGGTGTTCCTCATATGTTGCTATCAAAAGACAAAACTCATTCTCTGTAAGCACAAACGGATGTCTTGCTTTTTAGGTCTTGCTATATTAAGACATTGTAACTGTAAAATAGTGCTAGCTAGTGGCTACTTCCATACATAACACACACACAAACACCAGCATTTATTGTTCTTACATCACTTATAAATTTCATCCTTCCTTTTGTCAAACCAAATTTTGATCAAACCCTTGCAAATTTCTTCCGAGGTAGAAGTAGATGGAGCTTGTGTGGTCAGGGCCACATCCATCATCTGAAAATGATCTGAAAACTCCATTTTCAGAGAATCCTCCACCTTGCTCAAAGCCAGTGCTAGCTTCCATGGATATCCAAAAGGAGAAGAAGGAGGACCAAGAACATCCCTATGAGTCAAAGCCAGAACTCAACCTCATAAACTGTATCGATACAAATTTGTCCATGAACTCCTCAGAATCATGTCATGGAGGAGGACACGGCGATGAATTGGAGCCAAGGATATTCTCATGCAACTACTGCCAAAGGAAGTTTTATAGTTCGCAGGCCCTTGGGGGACATCAGAATGCGCATAAGCGTGAAAGAACTTTGGCAAAAAGAGGACACAGAGCTGGTGCTGCAGCTCCAACAGATTTTGCACACAGGTATTCCAGCATGGCTTCTCTGCCTCTGCATGGCTCCTATAACAGGTCACTTGGAATTCAGGCACATTCCATGATCAACAAACGCTGTTTTCAAACACAAACACCTTGTTTTGGTTTGTCCCATTGTCATGCTCAAAACTGGTGGCAGAAGCAGCCTTTGTACTCACAAGAACAGGCAACAGGGACAGAATCTGAATCAACCTTGGCTGGTGGCATCCAACGGCTAGGGAAGTTTTCTCCAAGGCTGGTGCCAGAGGGATTTGGAGGCTACTGGTTGGACAGTGTTCACCATTTGAAGACTAAACAAGAGGAGTTGCACAAGCTTGACTTGTCCCTCAAACTCTAAGTGCAACCCTTCATGGCATTTCATATACAGCACGTATTAATTGTGTCTTTTCTCTTTTTCAACAAGATCTTTCTATCTTTTCTTTTTCTATTTGTGCTCATGTATCAATCACTAGTTGCAGCAGCTGTAAATGCATTTTAGCCGCATAAAAACTAAAGTCCGTGTCTTGATATTATTTGCTTTGATTTGAATTAATGGATTCTTCTGGGTTTATTTGGAAGTTAATAAACCTTCCTGGGTTTTCAACAGCATTACTCGATTGAAGCTCTCTCGTGACATAAAGCTCGTAGAGTTAGCAGGGTAAGAAAGTTAGGCGAACTAAATCATAAACTAAATGCAGTCAAAATTCATCAATTAACTACGATCCTGCGGAGCCAATCAATGTCATGTCCACTCATTTGATTCCACAAATATCCGTTTAAGGGTCTGCATGTGACAGAAACATAAGCAAGGTTCTTAGTAAATTAATTGACATCAGTTCATACAAGGAACTGACAATAGTTTTAACCCAAAATCTCAAAACATTAAATTTATGGAAATAGAGACTTCCTACAGTGAATTGTCAACCTGGGACTGTTGGAACGAAGGTATATCTGTCTCAGATTTTGGGTGACAAAGGCCCACAGTAGAGACGTGGGTACTGGTGACTATCATTGTTATAAATTCATATGCAAGATTGGTCCACCAAATGTACATAAAATTTAATTGTTGTGTTGTGATTGTGCAAGCGACTAGCACTTTGACCCACCTGCAGTTGGAGAAATGGACCTTCTCTATTGGGATCAAAGAAGTAGGTGAGGCAAAGACATGTGAGAAAGTAAGCTGCACAATGACACTCGGCTATGCTTTCACATCATTTCAAAAGAAATGTTTAATTATTCATAAGCTTGTATTGATTTTGATCCCCCCACGAATTTGTTGGTCCATATCTGCCTGATGTTTACAACCTAATCCGGTGTTAATGATGAAATAAGTTTTGTGATGATGGGCTAAGTAACTGAAAAATGTAGTGATTAAAACAGTTAACAATCATAGTAATCTCAGACTAACAGGAAACGGCGGAAGGGACAGAGGGAATATCTATGATGTTTGCAGCCATGAATGAGAATCTGGTATCTTTTGCCAAATGTGTCGTGACACATTGGTTGGGCTGTCTATTTTGGTTGTGGTGGCATGCCTCAGTCTTCACCGCACAATTTTTTCATTAAAATATTTAGAACCTTCACTTTTGCCTCTCCACCAAGAAAGAATGAAACACTTTAATTTCATTAAAACATGGACCACCGAGTGATATCTTCTTTTTTTTCTGAGATTAGCTTCAATTTTGAAGCAAAAACTGCGTCTTCTTCATAAGATCTTATATGATAATCAAGGTCGAGATAGTCGGTCGCATTCAATGAATGTAGGCTAAGGAATTTGATTTCACATCAACATCTCAGTTAGGCTCCTCAGACTGTATCATATATGCTACCTTTTTTCCACTTTCTTATCTTCACATTTTCTCTTTAATCTAATTTATTCAATCACGGTAACAACAAGGGCCTTCAACTTTGGGCCAACCCACAAAGGTCCAAAGGACTAGACCATGCCATGTTTCTTTAAGCTCTCTGTGGATGTTTCTTTATGCAACCCACAAAGTTGCACTTAGATTTTGAAATACTACAAAATCTAAATAATTGATTTTAAAATGAAATTTAATAGACACCCATGATATAAAATAGTACCAATGGTTTTAGCTTATATAAAATCGTGATTAACAAATTTGATTATTTTTTAAATTAAAAAAATTAATTCATGTGATATCTTATTCTCTTTTTTTTTCCTCACCATTTCTTGTTGCATACGTGACGCATTGCTGCATGCAGCAAGATAAAAATGACGTTTATGCTTACCAATTTCGTTTTTTACTTCTTGTCGTTAGTTTTATTAACAATACTCGAATTGAGTAATATTGATGCTAGCTAATGTAAATTTGTACGACATCATGTAAACTTATACTATGATCTCTTTCTTTATGATTTTTTTTTCTATTATGTTATTGTTTTGTTTTTCTCGTATTTTTCTATTTTTCTATATATAAAAGTAGATGTAAATCTCAATTTATATTTATATATATATAATGAAAAGATGAAGCATTGATTGAGTTTTTTAAATTCACATATTGGCCTTGTGATTGGATATTTGAGTTAAAATGTCAAGCTCATATGACAGAAGTTGGAAATGGGTGATGCCAGTTAAGCAAAGAAAATGGAAATTTGGTTCCCCATGAATCGGTTGAACTTACGTCGAAGTACACTTTACTGTAGACAAAAGAATTAGACCTAATTAAATATTGTTGGACTGTGATGTATTTTTCACTAAATTATTATAGATTTCTTACTAATGCAGGATTAAGTTATATGTTTCAGTTATCCTTCATAATTCTTCAAACGCATTTTTCAAGCCAAATATACTTTCACTGTCCCTTTTCGGGATTCTTAATACCATACTCTTTCAAGGTGGGGTATCATATGTTCAAGTACACATCATTTTGGAAATAATTCAATGTAAGTTTATAATAAAGTTAAATTATATAAAATTAAAAAACTATGAATCCATTATTTTAAGATTTTGTATTGACCTGAAATCATATACTATATATATATATTATATATATATATATATTATATATAATATATATATATATATATATTCATATATAAAATCTCTATACTATAATCAAAAATTTTATAAATTGTATTGATAAATATGAAATGATTGATTTATACTGTTATTTAACAATAACAATATTATAATCACACAAAAAGTAAAATAGTAAGTAGATCAACTGCCTAAACAACACCACCATAATTATAATATTTTGAGTATAAATAGGTTTACCACATTTACCATATAAAATATATTTAAGAAATCGTTAAGAATAATTTAAATGTAAGTCTTACGTCGAGTAAATATGACAAAGTTAAACTATGAAATGAAAGATCATGGAGTAATTTCTTTAAGATTTTGAGTTAAAAGTATTATTCATGTGAGATTAAACTCAAGTCGTATATAAATAATATCTCCCTGCTAATTCCCTCGAATAAAAATATAAAAACATAAAACCTATTACAGAACATAATCAATTCATATCGTTAAAGACAGATACATGTTATAAAAAAAATATTTATTCTTTTAATTTTCATTATTAAAAGCATGTTCGAATGTATTTATAAGAAACTTTTCAGATTTAGTTACTAAGAGTATTTTTTTTTTAGAAACTCGGTGTAAGAAAATAAATACTTTTAAATTTGATTCTAAATATAATTAAACTTTTGGAGTTACCAGATCAATGCTAATATTCATGAGTTTAAGTATCACTATTACGAACATGGAGATTATGGTCTGGAGAAAAATTAAGTACAATGCAATTATGTCATGATAAGTTCATTATCTTTGATATATAAAAGTAAAATGAAAAGATAATCTTTCAATTGAGGAGTAAACTAATTTGTTATCTTTTTCTACTTTGTAGTATATGGGTACGTTCATTTCATCTCACACCCTTAACATATTCATATGATGGGCGATGCTATTTTGCCTACAGATTATATTGATAGATTTTTTGTATATTATTGTAGCTTATATATGTTGCAGCACAAAATTTCATGTTTTTATCACATCTTCCAATGATAGTCATATATGTTTAATATTTGTTTCCAAATTAAACTGTATCACCATTGATAGTGTTAATAGTGTTAATTTTTACTGTGTGAAAGTCCTTAAAATATGTTAACTTAAGTTAATATCTTTCATATAAAAGTTGACTTATTACATAATAAAAAAATGATTCATTTAACTTACTCACTTTTTTAATTGAAAATTTTGTAACTCAATTTAACTTAATTTATTTATAAATTCTTTTTAAAGTAAATTAATTTGATTTATTGTTTAACATCATATTTAAAATATTCACATATTTAAGTCAAAATTTTTATCATAAAATATAGATAATATTAAAAACTAAAGTTTAATAATATTTTTTTTATAAAAAACTAATAAAAATTTTTGTATTGATGGGTTACAAATCAACTCACATTTAATTGGTTTGAACGCTTTTTAATAAACAAATTAAGTGTGTAGGATTCAATTTATTTTTGAAAATTCAAATTGTTTGACTTAACTTGATTTGAACTCATGGTACATGATGAATTCATGAATTGAAATTCATTTAACTCTATATATGTTTGTCCAATTTTTTTTTTAAAAAACCATATATTATATATAATTTTACATTTTCAATATTATTTTTAATTATTGTTACGCCATTCAATAGTTTCAACTCATATATAATTTAAATACATATTTCTATTATAATTTTTTGTGAATATTTTTAACATTAAGAATATATAAAAAAATTATGGCTTTCTTAAAGTAATCAATAACTCCAAATATTATTTCAACGGACGAGAATACGTACTATAGCTCCTAAAATCTTGCAATTAATTGGTTTTTTTAGGGATTCGTATCATGAATTTTTAAGATGGATTCACCAGGTTGAGAAAGTGGAAAGTGAAATCCATCCACTACAAACAGAAAAAAGTGTAATTCAAAAGCTTCTTCTTTCTAATGCTCAGGGAAATGATAATCGAGATGCACTTGCATTTTGTGGTGAACAAGTTAACTTTAAATAGATGAAACATCAATTTATTATTTTTATAAGTTAAATTAATTTATATAAAATTACATCAAAGAGTTTCTATAAGTTAATTATCCATAGATTAATTTAATTTTTGAAAAAAAATGAGGGGTTTAATATTTTTTTTAGAAAAAAATTTAGTTAAACAGTATAATATATATAAATGAAGCAAATTTTTCCATGAAAAGTCCTTTCTCATTGAAAATCATCACTCAATGGTTGTTTATGATTTCTATACATAATTATAAAAGCACGCGTAATGTTTGCTTTTTGGGTCGTTTGGTTGCTGATATGCTGGCACTCAAAATCACTTTTTTGGCATATAGATTCCAGAAGTAGAACTGAAGTATAGATTAATGATAACAAGTCAAAAACCACTACGTAAGACCTTTCTTAATTTCCAAATTATTTATTTACAGGACAACTTATTATGTGTGGATATTTCTGAAAATAATTTCACGTAAAAAGTTTACCATGCTATTCTCAATTCTAACCACCAATTCAAGTAATATTATATTCATGGTGGGTGTCTTGTTTGGAACATGGGAAGAAGAAAGTTTTACATTAGATAAAATAATATAGATTTATATATACATAAGATACGTTTATCGATAAAAGACCTTTATCAAAAATAAATTTATGAGAATTTAACTCAAAACGATACAAAGATTTATGCGTGTGTGAAACCTCCATACAAATTATATCAGAAATTATGGTTTAAATTTGATGATCGGGCTCAGTCGAGTACGGTCACGTGAAGCCATGACAGGTGAAGATGCTCATGGTAACCAGGCTACAGTGAATCCTTAAAGCGCAGTTTTCGAGTTAAACCTCGTTTTAAGAGGTTAATTTCCGTGTGTTAGAAAAAAATAGCTGTGCACTTTTACAGCTAAGTGTTCGCTACTTTTCTCATGTCTGGACAAGTTCAGAGTCAAATTCTCTTAAATACTTTACGTTGTTTTCAACTTAAAATAATAAAATTTATAAATATTTTACAGAATTCGATTTATTTATTTCTATAATTCAATACAACAAATTGAAATCCCAACAGCGTGTCATTCATGTCAGAAAATCAACAACGTTTTTGCTAACTTCGACATTACAAATGAAAATACTAAGAAAAGTAAGGTCAAATATAGCAGCTACAGCCCTACACACGCGCGAGCAAAGAATGGGCTTCAATTTTCCATCAGACATGCATTCACTCTTTCATCATCTTGCATTGTTGCGTTAAGAAAACTGTGATGTGAGCCACGTCCCCATGTCGCCCACAAATATGTTCAATCATATACCAAATATATATATATATATATATATATATATATATATATATATATATTCATTTTCTTTTATTGAGTTTATTCACGTAATAGATTAATCGAAGATATAACACTAATAAAATTTGAGTCTAATTATATAAGAGATTGAAATCATTTTATATTCAAAACTTTAATATAATAGATTAACTTATGAAATAAGTTTTACATCTAATTATATACTTTAAACTCAACTCAATTTATAAAACTGACTTTAAAATTTGTATCTATTTATATATTTAAAATTGATTTTATCTTTAATTAATTTATAGTTGCAACAACTTTTACCTTACCTTACATGAGACACACACTCAAACTTGAAAATCTAACACCTGTGACTTGCATTTGGTTATTATTGGTAGTAAAGAAATACATTCACATTACTTGTGAAGGTTATTATTAAAGTACATATCTACCTATATACTTCATGATTTAGGCATCATCATTGTCTGTCTTATTCACACTTGTCCATTTGCATATACCAGTGTTGGAACATAACACGTTCATTAATTAAGTCTAATTGAGATAAAGTCAAAGCAGAGAAGAAAGTTGATTTAGTATTCTACGTACCCCTTGTATTTATTTTCTTAAAAATCATACCAAACAGTGATATTCTTTGTAGAATCGTTGGTTTCTCATGTATGTATTATAGGAATGAATTGAATGGGTTGTAACAGTGAGAGTTGCAGCGAAAGAGGTAGGGTTAATCGGATCCAACAAGAGAGAGACCCACAGGTGAAACAATAAAATTACCCCGCTTGGAAAAGGAGGGAACTTGGTGGGACCATGGTTTCATAGAGGAGAAAGCCGCAAAAGACTATTATATAAATGAGTGTTACCACCTTCTTCTCTCCATGAAAACTTCACTTTCACATTCTCAAAGACGCTTCACCAACAAGTTTGAAGCAGCAATCACCATCATGGCTAGACCCCAACAACGCTATCGTGGTGTCCGCCAGAGGCACTGGGGCTCTTGGGTCTCTGAAATTCGCCACCCTCTTTTGTAATGCTCACTCTTTCTTCTTAAATCTTCTCAAGTGATCCTTTTCGTTTCACCATGAATACCAACTTTTAGTTCTTCCGTGTTACCCTGTATTTTCAATCATAATAATAATCCCTTCGGTTTTTTAAAAGCAAATTGCCGCATTATTTCACTGTGTAACAAACATTCTGATTAACGTTGTTTGCTGGCTTTTCTAGGAAGACCAGAATATGGCTGGGAACGTTTGAAACAGCGGAAGATGCTGCCAGAGCGTACGATGAAGCGGCAAGGTTAATGTGCGGGCCAAAAGCACGCACCAATTTCGCTTACAATCCTAACGACCCACAATCTTCTTCATCGAAGCTACTTTCTGCTACTCTGACTGCGAAGCTACACAAGTGTCACATGGCCTCTCTTTCGCTTCAAATGAGCAAGCAGAAGGGATCGCAGAAAGAGGCTGAAGAAGGGTCATCCAATTCAGGCAATGCCGTTGCGGGAACGAGCGCGGACACAACAGGGTTCAGATGGGCAGAGAAGAGACAGAAGGAAGTTCAGTGGGTAGAAGAATACCATGTTGAAGTGGGAGAAGCAGAACAGCAACAGTTTCATCCAGTTCTTGAAGATGATCACATTGAACAGATGATACAGGAGCTTCTTGATTATGGGTCAATGGAGTTTAGTTGTGTGGACTCAGTCTAAAAACGAAGCAAACATTCTCCATATAGGCCAATGCAGACCTCTTTTCAGGGATGGTACTATTTACTAATGCCCCCGTGTAATAAAATATAGTGATGAGCTTTAGACTTTAGTACCATAGCAGAGTTTTCACCATGAGTTTCAATCACTCCTCAATTTAATGGTCAAGCATGTGGAACCAGAATGTAATCAATCATACAAAAACTAACGCATGCATATATGATGTGGACTATATATTCTAGATAGCATAAGTAAATCATCAAAAGACTACAAATTCCCGACTTCCGTTTTTTGTTTATATCTTCTTGATGCTGAAACCTTCCCAAAATTCTTCAAAAGTGCAACACATATGTGGGACCTGTGCTGTCTAAGACATTTATATTCATGTCCACTTTTTTATCTGCTTAACAACCACTGTTATAAACTATAAATTATGTTAAAAGATAAGCTCAATTCTATTACCCAAGTGAGTGTATATCTTATCCTAGTTGTGTAAAATTTAGTTAATTTTAACGTTTTAACATAAGTTAGAGTTTAACGAAATTTATTGTTTGTTGGGTCTACGTCGGATTGTTATGTGTCATAAGGAAAATGAGTTAGGCTTAATCATTAATTAGTTGCAAAATTGATCTTTCTTAAGAAACTTGAGCCATTGCATTATGAAGGAAAAGGCAAATGATTGACAGAGGGTTAGTGGCAACCATTTTGGCAGTAGCAGGCGTTGGAGTGGATAGTAATAAGCACCTGAGGCATGATTAGGAGAGAGTGATGTAAAACACAGAGCAAGAAACGTTTAACTTTGGATGGTGGATCATCAAAAACTGTCGAAACATAAAGTCAATACTTTGATTTGGTGTGTATCCAAGAAATCCGAGAGATGTGAACATTACAAATAATGCCAAATATGAGTGACAAAGGGTGCCAATGTGAAGTGAGCTAAATGGGCATTACTTGTTAAACAATGAACATTCTTATTGTTTTCCCACTTGCTTTTTCTAGTTGATAACACAGCAGAGGACCCTTTTTCTATTCTCTTTTGAACTATCCTTCCATCCCCTATCCTTTGTTCCAGCAAAAGCACAACTTTTGACCCACGTACTCCTCTTTTTTACCAATCCAAAGACATCTCCATTCACAACTTTTATTTTTGTCCGGATTTCATGAAATTTTCTCCTTTTTTATATTAAATTGCACAGCTTACACTCTTCTAAATCTTTAACTAAACACTCAGTCCTTATATACATTCAACAGCATCACATTTACACTTCTTATTTTATTACATGTCGCGGATAAACAAGAGACACAAAATTTAATGTTTTATGAATCGATGTACCCAAAAGTTGTCTGCGTATCACTTTTTTCTTTACTTCACATGCATCTTTTGGTCAAGATAATCTTATTGGAGACATAATTGAGCATTAAATATAATTAAACACCATACAAAGTCCAATTTCTCTGGCTGAAGTGTCTGGAGCCAATATGATACAGAAAATACATGTCTTTAACAACATCAAGAATAGTCTCTGACCATTGTTTTCATGTAAGAAATGAAGTTTTCAATGTATTACCATGCAATTGAGTTAACAAGCAATGTCTCAGAAGAAAAAAAGAAATCGGTAGCATTATCTGTCACTTCTGTAATGCAATTAATTCTTCAGCCGGCAACTTTAAGCATGTGCATGGAGAATGTCTTCCATGCTTACAATCAAGACAATGTTTGTTTCCAACAACACGGACCAGCATGTCCCTTCAAATTGCAATCATGCCAAAGTCATACTATGATTGTTCTGATAGCAGAGCAATAGCACAGACTACATAGAAAACAGTGTCAAACATTGCAGGCAGTGATCGTATGTTGAGGTAAAATGCAAATTTTACCATTTCTCGTAAAGTTCAAATGAAGGTACAAAATTAAAAATGAAACCAGGGAGGGTAATAAACACAGTTAAAATATTGAACTGTAAAACTTTGGAGATTCATACAAATTCCTTAAGAAAAGAATGGCTGGTATAGTCTTAAATTTTTATGATTCATCATTTTTTGGCCCCTGTGTTGATCTAACTTTGGTAAATTTAAATCTTTGTAAAGGTGGGTGGGACAAAAAACGCCACTATTTTAACCTCATGCCTAATGATTGTTCATCCATCTGGTAATTGATTTTGTCTTCCACAACCGTTTAAAAGCACAAATTTGATAATCTTAATGACATGACTATAAAAACTATAATTCGGTGTAGCTGAATCATAGTCTCTTTGATTAGATTTTTAACCTTAACAAGTTCCTCTTCTCTTCCCCAAATAGAAGGATACCATAAATCATGGTCACGTCACGTCTCAGTCTAACCTAGTTAAGATGCTAAGCAATAGGCCTTCAATCGATTTCGCCAGAATCATACAAAAATAAAGCAACTCTTCTTGGAATAACCAAACTGATAGTGACAAATTGAAACTATTCTGGTTAAATCTGTGAAGCCACAAGTACACCCGGAATCAAAAAAGTTTGCAGTCATTTTAATTATAATCAGGAAAAAAATTGATTTAATGTGAGTCCTGAAAAAAAAAAACACCCAAAGTGTTGCAACAGCTATTGTTCTACCCCAACTGTTTGTTCATTTTGGAACCAAAGAATTCTATTTGTGTGGAGTTCTGGGTCTAGACAATGAGAAGGTTTGACTTAGAGTCGCAGCACCAATAAGATTTGAACCTAATCATATAAAGAATTTTCATTATTTTCTAAGATAATAGATTAATAGTAATGGTCTACTTTCTTATTTTTATATTTAAGACTTAAATTTATACTTAAAATTTTAATATTAACGGATACATTTATGTTATTCCTGACACTTTTTACTTTTAAACTAGATCATGTTGGATACAAACAAAGTTTCTCGTAGATATTTAGTCTCATGCATACTTTTCTTTCAATTAAGAAAAAAAATACTTTCACACACAAGTTACATTCATTCCGTAAAATAATCATACAAAAATAAACTTTTGTATTTACAGAAGAAAAAAAAGATTAAATAATATTATCAAATGATTATAGAAAATTTAATGTGTAAAAGTATTAGTATTCTTCCTTTACATGGGACAGACACTGCTTTAATGTTATCAGTGCAATATTTTCTGAAAGATGTCCTTAAATACAAAAGTAAAAAAGAAAAGACGAATTCGAACTCTATTATTGTCTTTGAGAAATTACCATTGTACCCTCAGTGGGTGCATATGAGAAACAGGACAGAAAGGTGAAGCTTAAGTGAAAAGAAATATCTTGAAATAAAAAAAAGTTTCTTGGGCCGTAGAAGTTAGTCCAAGTGTTTTGGGCTGAGTTTGTATATAATCAGATTGGGCCTGTGTCCTACGTGCATGAATAGATATGATTTGAGGTGGTAGTAATAACGATGAGATTGGGTGACACGTGGGAGCGCATGAGCGGGGTCAAAGGGAACGCCAGGAGGCTCGGTGCTTGGCTCGTTTTTTAGTTTAGTTAGTTATGAAAAGAAAGAAAAGAGAGCAAGTTTGTTAGTGAATGATTGGGAAGGAGTGATTTTAGAATAAGTGTACAGAGAGAAACTCTCACTCACACACTGCCAAGAAACAAAAATAGTTAGCATTTCCTTTTGTATATATAATCATCTGTCACACTTTTCTTTCTCAAGCAACCATCTTCTTTCTCTCTTTAACTTAAAAACAACAACAACATGGGAGGTCTCGAAGACATCAAGAACGAGGCAGTGGATCTCGTCAGTGTCTTCTCTCCTTTTCCTTTTCCTTTTCTTCTCTTTCTTTCTTTCTCCTTGTATTCTCAGAATTTTATGTTATTACAATGCAACATGTTTTTGTGTTTTGCAGGAGCGGATTCCTGTCGATGAAGTGTTCCGCGAACTGAATTGTACTAAGGAAGGTCTCACCAATGAGGAAGGCCAAAAGAGGTTGCAAGTTTTTGGACCCAACAAGTTGGAAGAAAAGGAGGCAATCATCAATTCATTCATTCATTCTTTCTTTCTTTGATTTCCTTCTCCATAACGTATTATGTTTCTTTCATCTATCAGGAAAGCAAACTCCTTAAATTCTTGGGTTTTATGTGGAACCCTCTCTCATGGGTCATGGAAGCCGCTGCCATCATGGCCATTGCATTGGCAAATGGTGGGGGTGAGCCCCCAGACTGGCAAGACTTTGTTGGAATCGTGGTGTTGCTCTTTATCAACTCAACCATCAGTTTCATTGAAGAAAACAACGCCGGCAATGCTGCAGCAGCACTCATGGCAGGCCTTGCTCCGAAAGCAAAGGTTTTGAGAGATGGAAGGTGGTCTGAAGTGGACGCTAGCATACTGGTACCGGGAGATATAATCAGCATCAAACTGGGAGACATCATTCCAGCTGATGCTCGTCTCTTGGAAGGAGATTCCCTCAAGATTGATCAATCTGCACTCACGGGTGAGTCATTACCTGTTACTAGGAACCCCGGTGATGAAGTCTTCTCTGGCTCCACGGTAAAACAAGGAGAGATTGAAGCAGTTGTAATCGCTACTGGGGTTCATACCTTCTTCGGTAAGGCTGCTCACCTAGTCGACAGCACTAACCAAGTTGGCCATTTCCAAAAGGTACAATCTTTTCCACTGTCTGTCTCTCTGTTGTAAACTCTTTATTATGCAACTTCATAACGCATGTGACTTTGCATTGTAATGATCAGGTTTTGACGGCCATTGGAAATTTCTGCATTTGCTCAATTGCTCTGGGGATGATCATTGAAATTGTGATTATGTATCCAATTCAGCACCGCAAGTACAGGAGTGGAATCAACAACCTCTTGGTCCTTCTCATTGGAGGGATTCCCATTGCCATGCCTACAGTCTTGTCAGTAACAATGGCAATTGGTTCCCACAGGCTCTCTGAGCAAGGTGCTATCACCAAGAGGATGACAGCCATTGAGGAAATGGCTGGGATGGATGTTCTGTGCAGTGACAAGACTGGCACTCTAACACTTAACAAGCTCACTGTAGACAAGTCTTTGATTGAGGTAATTGAGAAGATGCAGAAAAGCCTCTATTATTTGGAGAAAATCATTGTTTTGTAACTCTCTAAAACCTATTTCTCATGTATACAGGTTTTCTCAAGAGATGCTGACAAAGATACAGTGATTTTGCTTGGAGCTAGGGCCTCCAGGGTGGAAAACCAGGATGCTATTGATACTTGCATAGTTGGAATGTTGGGTGATCCAAAAGAGGTGTGTAATGATCCTCATTCCACAAAATTAAGCAAGATTCTACAAGAACAAACCAAAAGAGATATAATGATAACAAACTTGTTCTGTTTGGTGCAGGCTAGAGATGGCATTACAGAGGTGCATTTTCTTCCATTTAACCCAGTGGACAAGCGCACTGCCATAACATACATAGACAGTGAAGGTAACTGGTACCGAGTAAGCAAGGGTGCACCAGAACAGGTAATCAGTGAACAACACTGAACGAAGCTGATA